GGCGGACAGACTGAAAAAAAAAAATTAAAACGAAAAATTCAAAAAAAAATTTTAATTTTGGCATCATGAATAACAAATTGGCTCTGCATCTGCTCTGCCGCGATCTGAGATTATGCGACACAGCTGACCAAATACTGCAAACAGCTGCTGAAGTGCATTAATAACTAGCGTTGTTCGTGTTGCTGCCAAAAACGTGTATTTGGTGAATGCGCATACAATAACCAAAATGTGAAGATTTACACATTTGCTCTTTGGGAACGGGCCTATGTGATCCATATTTATTGTACGGTATGGTATAGGTACCGTGTCGTATACATGCAGTGACCCTTCAGACTTGATTCCTTTTACTTTGTAACTACAGCACTCTGGGCACGAAGATAAGTAGCGTGAAATCCAAAAGTTCCGTTGAATACGTTGGATTGTCTTATCCGTGCCGTAATGTCTTTCCTCGTCGTGGTTTGCTTTTCTTATCCTCCCCGCTACTGCCCTTCTTCTTGACACAACCAACAACCTGTATATTCCTATTATACCATTTGCAAAATTGTCGAATACGACATAAACATTTAAACTCCTTAGATGACATAAATCTACCGTCGACAGCAGACATAATCAATTTTCAAACTTTTAAACAAAAGGTATAACCTGTGAACCCATTCGTCAGCATAAAAGATGCAGTCTATAAACCAATTCATCAGGACACATTTTCGACTAACTGAATTAGAAGAAGAGTCTTATTCGAATTCCTTTACTACGTTATAATTTTTATTCAAAAATTTCAAACTTGAGGTTCGACGTCAACACTATTTCTTCCAGTTGGCTCTGGAGCCTCTACAGCCGGGTCTTCGACCGTTAAGTGCTGGGTGCAACAGCAAGGGGTGCGGGAAGAAGGACGAGTCGGTGTGACTGCCGAATAAGCAATCCCAACCATTCGTCGTTTGGTTTGTTTGTTTTGTTAATGCTGCTGTTTGTTACTAATGCTGCCATGCCCACTCTTTTTTTTTTTGCCACGCTCACTCTGACGCCCAAAAACTGCCTAAAAATTCCACGCCAACAGTTTCTAACAATGTTTTTTAATTTCTTAATTTTTTTGTTGTGTTCCAATTTATATCGTTATGTTTAAAAAATGTTGGCCACGCGTACTCTAACATCCACAAACAGACCTTAACTTGTAAAATTCGAGAAATTTCTGATGTTGATGTTCTAGAAATTCAAAAATATTAAAAAATGTCCCAAGGCTGAAGTTCTCAACTCCATACTCCATACTCGTAACTCAACTTATCTTATTCGGATTTTGCAGTGGCATAACTCTAAATGTTTCTGGCGCAATCTCTAAAAATCTGCATTTAAATTTAAAAATTCATTTTTTTTTTTGTAATTTTTTTGACGTTATGATGTAGAAATTAAAAAAAAATTAAGAAATGTCCCATGGCGGAAGTTCTAAACTCCATAACTCAACTTATATTGTTCGGATTTTGAAGTGACATACATACCTCTAAAAATGCAGCTTCCAGAGACATAGACGCAGGGCAAGTTTGTTTCCAAATGTTACCTCGCCCACACTTTTGAAAAAATTTTAAATTTTTGTTCATTATTTTTGCGCAATTTATTTTTTCTACCGATATTTCAGAAAATACAGTAATTTTTCGTTCGCACTTCTGAGCACTTCTCAGCACCAGCTGAGTAACGGGTATCTGATAGTCGGGGAACTCGCCTATAGCATTCTATCTTGTTTTTACTTTAAGCCAGCATTCTGACTAATTATCTGCACTTTCCCTATTGCTGTTTGTGTCCGTTGGAATGGGCGTGGCAAAAAGTTTTTTGGCAAATCAATAGAAATTTACAAGGTATATAAAAAATGAAAAATATCACATTTTTCAAAATTGTGGGCGTGACAGTTTAAACGGTTTGTGGGCGTTAGAGTAGGCGTAGCAAAAAGTATTAAAGCAAATCCATAGAAATTTACACAATATATACAAAAAAAAAACAATTTTTCAAAATTGTGGGCGTGGCAGTTTTGTGCGGTTTGTAGGCTTTAGCGTGGGCGTGGAACGTTTGGAAACAATCTAGATGCAGCATATATCTCTGTAAGCTGCTGCTTAATCTCAACGTTCGAGGCGTTTATAAGGACATAACGGTTATAAAAACAGCATTTAATTAAGAGATTACGTTTACTACAACTATAAATAAATTTGAAAGAAGTCCACGATTTTTTTATCGATGTCAAGTTAATGCAGCCTTATTTAACCTGAAAATAATATTATTTTATTTATTTATTCATTACGTTTACAAAACTAATTAAACACCAAAAAACATTAAGATCACTACCGAATCCCAAATGTACATATTTGACAAAATATTTAGATAGAAATTGTTTTCCATTTTAGAACTCAACGTCACGACAACAGTTCTATGCCTAATGAACAATCTGCTCAACTCGTACATTGGCCATATCTGTCTAGTCTATTAGGATGGTATTCTCATTTTTATAATAATATATAAAAACAAACATTTTGAAGCCGTCATAAGCATATAAACATTAAATTTATTATTGGGAAAATTGGATAAAAACCGAGGGTCAGTTTCTACGTCAAGTCAGGTAGAGACTCAGGTAAAGTACGAAAAAATTAGAGCACGTATACATAGAAAACAAAGAAATTAAAAGTTTTTTTGGCATGATAGAATTTTTAGAAGATTTATCCGTAAAAGTAAAGTCAAAATTTGGTGACCCCAAAAAAATCTACTCAACCATATATAATTTACTTAAACAATACAAGACATTTGAAGTAGACAGAATTCACTCAGCTTGCTTTCAAATAATGTTTTTAATTTAATTTATTTTCTATAATACTACCATACATTCTATTATTATACATATATGTAATAAACAATTTCACAACCAAAAAAAAAAAGATGAAGAGTCGTCCGATTTTGATCAAAGCGCAAACAAGAAATTTCAACATTTTCTGTAATATCGGAAGAAATTGTGAAAAAAATTTAAAATTAAAAAAAAACAAACATTTTTTAATAGTGTGGGCGTAAGAGTTTTGTGCGGTTTGTGGGCTTTAGAGTGGGCGTTGCAACATTTGGAAACAAACTTGCGCGCTGCGTCTATGTCTTTGGAAGTTGCATGCTTAGTCTCAACATTCTAGCTTTTGTAGTTCCTGAGATGGAGGCGGACAGACACTCTTCCTCCTCCTGTTACATACTTTTCAAGAAATGTAGTATACCCTTTTACTCTACGAGTAACGGGTATAATAAACACAACATACAAGATTTGACATCACTTATAAGCCTTTTACAATAGAAAATTTGTTATAAAAAATAACCGCTGATTTCAATTATAGTATTATCAATTCATTTTCCATCTGTTTCCATTGATGCTATAGGTATAGTCATCAGATTTTGATAAATTTTAATTCCAAATTGTCGAAACCGCGTTCTGTAATAGAAAGGTATCGCGAAAACTATAGGAATTACACACATTTACTCAGTTCAGAATAAAGATAGTGGAATTGTAAAAGTAAAAATTAAAAAAAGAAAAAATAGGTTGATGGGACATTGCCCATTATTTGTTAGAAATAGATTTTGTTAAAATCCTATGATTGGTTCAAACAAATTTTCCCAAACATGTTTGTTGAAGCTCGCAGGGAATGAATAATAAGTAAATATCATTGATTTCATATATAAATGCTATTCAATTGTCTATCACAAAAAATTATAAAAGTTCAAAGTTCAGTCCGCCGAGTGAGTAGATGTCATAAATTTACATATATATATATACTCTTCACTTTTTTGTCACAAATAAATTATAAATGAACCAGGGGTACTTTGTAGGTCCCATCAGTTTCCAAATTCGGACAGATATCTTAAACGGTGCTCCACTCAAATAGCTAATTGGTTTCAGGCTGTTTCATTTCAAAATGAACTAAAATGAACATCAAAAACTATTAATGAAACCAGATTTTCGAAGCCAGAGTAAATGATGCCACATTGTTTACATTTATTTATTTTGGCGCCAACATTTTAAGCATTTTGCAAAAATTGAAAATAAAATATTTGCTGATCAAATACTTTCATCTGGCAACCAGATGGTCGAAGAACTCGACTAAAGCGTTCTCTCTTGTTTTTAATCTATGGTATTTAGACAAAATAAATTCAGTAATCAGTAATCATTCAGCATATAGTTTGTTCCTTTAGGAATGCTGAAGCTTTAGGCGGAAAAATGTAGCCATATCAGTTTAATATCAGACAGACAAGTACGCCGAAACTGTTTATTTTAAATAGTCGGCTTGAACATATTTTTAAATCGGAGTTATACATGGGCAAACATTTTTTGTGGATGCTGTTTCTGCCCACATGCTCAAATAGTAATGTTATTATATTTACTTTTACAAGTTCTCCGATATTAACTTATACATATTCAAAGTCTTAGTACGCAATCATCAAGAAGCTAAATTTTGCTGTTATCAAATTCGTACATACACCCTGAGATATTAATCAAAACCTTGCTCTCCTTCTTTATATGTATATCACCTAGAAATGTTTAGCAATTATAAAAGATATTATTTAAATATTGCTAGTATTATACAAATATAGTGGTACAACCTTTTTCAATTAAAAAGTTTTTTGTCAAAAAACAGCATTTTTGTAAATAAAAAAATATCGTATTTTAAGCAAAAAAAATTGTTTGCCAAATAGAATATAAATTAGCAACTATTGTGAAATCCGAGCCTGTGCAAAAATTTGTTTATTATGCATGTATTTATAGAAAGGAAACCGAAAGTTTGAAAACGGTAGATCCGTTTTGAGCAATTTTGGAGGCAAGAAGATTAAATTAAATTAATTAATATTAAAAAAAACAAAAGTTGTTCTGCCTTAAATAAAGTAAAGACCCGCTTTCCGTAATACATGTGGAATATATTATTTTAAAAAACATTAATTATTTATTAATATACGTTTATATTTTAATGATATAAAATTATTTAAAAAAAAAAACTAACCGCGTGAAGGTATTTGCATTAACCGTGAATCATGACTTTATACATTTGCGTTTAATTATAATGGTTTTATCCGAAACAACTTATTATTACGATGACAACTTGCGGTAATTTCACAGGGGTGAATGTAATTCCGTTAATTTATCTCCCTTGTTTTATTCGACCGTCGCGCTTAAAGCTTTGATTGGGACTAAAACGATGTTACACAGATACTGTAAGTCGTCGATGAATGTCTTAAAAAGGGTGGTCCTCGTGCACTGCAATTTGTAAACACGATGCTCTGATGCGCCGCCTCGACAGCTTCGGAGAGTGTATGAAAATCTTCCATTGGCTTATTTTACTGATAGGGGTTGGAGCAAGCATACAGTGATGATATTGGTTCATAAGAGCAATAATAGTTACCACCACGTGGTTGTGGAATCTGAACAAGACTAGTAACTAAAACATGTAAGTAGAATAGAAATTCATTTCAATCAGCTTCTGGGATTGCGAACGATAAATTTAAACATTGGAATATCCTATCGATAGGAATTGGAATAAAAAAATAAAAACATGAAAAAAAAATCCAAAAAATTTTCAAAAGTGAGTGCTTGGTTTTGGGAGGCTTTTGGGTGATAGAGCGAGCGTGGCCAAAATGTTATTGGTATACCGATAGAAATGGGCAAGACAAATACAGAATAAAAAAATAATTAGTGTAAAATTTTTCCAAATTGCGGGGGTGCCAGTATTGGGCGGCTTGTGGGCGTTAGAGTAAGCGTATCAACATGAGTAAACAGACTTGCACTGCGCCTATGCCTTTGGAATCTGCATGTCTAACATAATTTCTAGCTTTTTCTAGCAATTCCTAGTTTTAATAGTTCCTGAAATCTTCACGTTCATACGGACGGACGGACGGACATGACCACATCCACTCTGCTATTGATCCTGATCAAGAATATATATACTTTATATGGTCGGAAACGCTTCATTCTACATGTTACACACTATTCAATAAGCCTTTACTTTACGAGTATAATGCTGTTCCTACCAATTATTTTCTGTTTTTGTTTCCATGATTTCATGTGTTAAGGCAATATTAGTTTTATAAAATTCTGAAATGTTTCAAATATTTTCGTATTTTTTCTTTCATAGTGCCTATGTTTTTTTAGTCCATGTGTGTGTTCAGTTAATAACTGTTATTCGAAATTATGGGTAAAATACTAATTTCATGAGCTGCTGGCACTATCATGGTTAATTTAAGAATTATAGTCAGTATTGTCAGTTTATGTACACATACAGGTGGAGGCTAGATTTGATTAAAGAACTGATTTCAGCTGGTAAGACATACATATGTTGAAGTGCAAATATTATTGTGTACTATTCTACTATGGTTAGAAACGCTATTAAATATGAGCGAATGGAAGGCGTAGTTGGACCATTTTATTGGGTTAGGTCACTGCTTAGAAGAACAGGCAAGGATTCAGCCCTTCAGGCCTTCTGCATCGCAAACAAAACTTGTAAATTAATTGAAAGTTAAAGGAAAGTCAAAGGTAATAACCTCAAACCTTTCAAACAAACATGTTTCAAGTTTGGAAGAAAACACCTGTATTGACCCTTGGAGAAGTGGGGGAATATTTTGGGGTCTATTAAGGCCAAAAACAGTTATTTTTTCTGAGACAATGACTCACGGTAGTATTTTAAGCAAAAGTGGTCGGTTTGATTTTTCTTGGATAAGTACCTTAGGAATGGTAGAGCACGAAATTTATAAATTCGGATTTGGGAGAGATTTTCATATAATGGGGGGTCCGGACACTATATAGGGTCAAAACAAAGACACTAGAATAATAGGATGCCTAACGGCCATACATTGGTTTTGCACTATGCAGCCACTTTTTTGGTGGCGGCAATAATTGCTCTCTCCCCACTTGCATAAAATTGAGAGTATAATAATCTAAAAATAGAATTCACTTGCTTGTTTGAGTGAAAACAGTAAGTGTGTAATGTGTGTGTGTAATGAGTGTAACAGTGTGCAAATGTGCGTAGTTGTGCTAGAAGTCGATATTCGGTCCGAAATCAATTTTGATTCAAGAAACGAATTTGATTTTTGTTTTGGTCAAGTTCGTTGTAATATAATCTAATAAAATATTATTTTAAAATTGTTGCCGTGATTATTATTTTTTTAGGAAGTTTTTTTAATATTAGTTGGTTAAAGTCGCCGCTTGAATTAGCTACCGTTTACAACTGAACTTTACATATAAACTTTTATTGAATTTCAATACGGATATATTATTAAAATTTGGAAAGAAAAAAAGTAGCAAGCGATGAGTTCCATCAATTTGTCAGCTTTAAGCAAACGGATTAAAAGGAACTAAGAGAAGAAACAATAAATTTGGCGCCCCTTTTTATCTACCCAAAATTGCGAGGTTTTTAAAAATATCAAATTAGAATATAACAAAAACATTCAACAAAATAATATTTGGATTTTAAAATACTGAAAATTGGTCATTTACATAAGTTGTCATATTTTTTTTTCTTGTATACTAATAATTTGTACTAATAAATGTACTAAATAGTTAAAAAACTTTATATGCAACCTGTTTATTGCAAAATTTAGTTCTTGAGGCAGGACCATCGCACCTAAGAATCCCTAACTTTCCACGTCGCGAGCTGAATACTCTATCGACATATTTTCTAGTATATAGTAATCTTTTAAATTAATTAGGTATTATTCTGTACATTTATATTTTTATATTATGATTTATTTAAATAATTATCTTGTTAAGGCAATGCACAATTAGAGTTTTTTACTTGGTGGCAATCGAGTACAAATAATATAGATTGAAAGTTCATAAAGTTCTGAAGTGAAGGGCATATTTTGTCAAATTTACTATATACGAGCATATGTGTGCACAGATACAGTGATCGGCTGTCGCTGTATGCGTTGCTGGCTCTAGAGGGCTCTCTCTCTGGCTCTTGGACAAAAATTCGAGAGAGCCTAGAGCCAGCTCTAGAGCCAGCACGAAAAAATCGTGTGCAAAAAAATCGTATGTCGTTACGAATCTTATTATTCTAGTGTCTTTGGTCAAAACCATCACGGATCACGGAAACAGTGTTTTTCAGACAATCCAGTCGATGTCCTGCACAGTCATTCGACCCTCAATCCAAATACAAGTTTCGATGTGACGCCATAGGAGGTTTCAGAAACAAAAGGAAATAAATAACTTTTGGAAGATATACAAAGGTCCTAGAACTGTGTTCCTGTGAAGAAGTGCCAGATGGCGAACCACATATGTAACTTCGGCACCCATATGTGTAGAGAGCAGATCCGAAAATGATCTATAAGCTTAAATTTTGTTTTTATTAAATTTCAAAGTCGCATCCCTCACTGGGTCGATCTGTGGCAGCCTTTACTACCTCGACCTGGGCTATCTTTAGATCACATCGATCATTTTCAAACTATGTGGAAATCCCGATCTCAGGCATTTATCGAAGAAATTCGTGGAAATATTTATTTGTGCGATAATTATTCAAAGCTTTCCAGTTTATATCGATCACCCTGCAATGTTTCAACTACTAAAAATAAAGGGACATCAACATTAGTTACTTTTTCCACAACAGGTAAAAGACCAAATGGTCTCGCTTCTTTACCAATGAGTAACTCTAATGGGCTAACTATAGTCAATCTGTTGGGCGTGCAATTAAAAGCCAATTGAACCTCGCCTAAAGCGTCCTGCCAAGACCCCTGGTAAGATTCAGCTACAATTTATAAACCAATAATACTTGTACATTTTTTCAAGAGTTCTCTTCCAACCAAGGTGCATAATGGCTTCATGCACACTATTGACAGCGGACCACCTAAACGATTTTGGTATAATACGAAGACAACGAGTTTCTTTGAATTTTTCGACCGCAATTCGTATATTTTGTCCAATTCCAGATGTCAGAGAAAATTGTCTTCTGGTATAGGACTTTGGAAAAGAAAATCATCGTATTCTACCTTAATATCGAAAGACTGCATGTAATACCACCATCTAGGAGTTAACTCGAAGCTTTGGAACTGGAAGCTTTAAGCGAATTTCTATCTGTCAACACTAAACAATTACGTCCATATAAATCATAGCGAAAATACTTAATAGCAAACGTCTCCAACTTGTATGAATGATAAAGGGATTCTGCGGGGCACATCCGTTTGCTAAAATACTCAATCACACGAAGCTTGTTTTCTATTTTGTGTTACAAAATCAATAATTTTATTCAATAAGTGTAATACAAATTTTGTATAATTCATAAGTGGGTCTTTTTTAGCTTCATCGCATATATTTTTATACAAAATATTGTATTGCAATTAATTTCTTTATGGTTTATAGAATTAACTTAAACTCAAACAACAAGATGGGCATATATGTAAATTTCGATCATACGTTTAGTTATATATTCAACTGCCGGACAGGTAATAAACTAGTTATTCTTAGCTTACTTGATAAAATCCACTGATGAAAGCGCTGTCATAGGTCGGTGGTTAGGCTGAAACATATAATCGCCCAGAAATAATTTGAATTCATAACCTTATCAGCTTATTTATTCTTTCGTATGCGGAATAATTGAGCAGCACATTTTAATGTTATACTGATTCCCACATTTCTTACTTTCTGATGGTCCTACTCTACTCTTTCACATCTCATGCTCTGGGACTGAGCTTTCGTTTTCTACTTTAATTTAGGTAGCGATTCATGTCTACAACAGTTTTTAGCGTTATTATTACTAATAATAGGTTTTGGGGCTCTTATTAAAGAATTTTCAGAGCCCAAAAACGTATTTGAGGTAAGGTCATTCTTGGGCTTGGCCAGCTACTATATATGTATGCATCATGAAAGACTTTACATCAGTACCGAGGCCCATTTCGGATATTCTGAAGGGCGAAAATTGGAGTGTCAGTCCAGGAATATTCAAGTTCAATTTTCCGAAGTGAAGCAACCAACGTGCCTTCGAGAAACTAGGTAATATCCTGGCTTCTGAGGATGTCATACTTAGATACCCTGACTATAAAAAAACGTTTGATCGACGCTTCGGCCTATGGCATTGGCGCAGTGTTCTTCCAGGAGGGACGTCCAATTACAATGATCTTTAGAACATTGAGCGACAGAGAGGTTAACTATGCTGCCGATGAATGGGAGCTGTTAGTCATAGTCTGGGCACTAGCCAAGTTGCGGCACTACGTGGTCAAAGAAATAAACATCTTTACCGACCACCACCCTTTGACATTTGCTTGCTGCTAACAGTGAGTGAGCTCTCGAGGCTGTGACTATTTGTTTGTTGCCACAGGAAGCTTCGGGTAACAGATAAAAGTGTTTTCAAAAATGG